GCCGGCACCAACGCCCATGCTGGAAACAGGACAGGGCGGTGCTAACCGGGATTGCATGTGGGTGGTGTCTCCGCAAAAGGAAGATGTTGTCTGCACGGGGCTGACCACGCGTGTCCCCACCAGGCCCAGGACCACCCCCTACTGGGACCTCCTCCAAGGGCAAGACGCTCCTCGGAGAAAGAGCTTACAGACAGTTGCTCCTGGGGCTACAGTTCTTTTGCTGCTGAAGCTTCCATATCCGAGGGCTGAAGCCCAGGAGCCTAGGTAGACGGACTTACTCTGCGTCTCTGGGCAGGGATAACTCGGCGCTGCCAGCCGAGGATGGCTGGTGATTTGCGTGATGGGGGATGAGGTATGGAGCAGGGAAGTGTGAGGCTGGCTGAGGCCGTGGCTCTGCCATTTCTTTCTGTCCTGCTGCTCTGTCCTGGCCGCTCTTGTCTGAAAGGTCAGTTGTGGATGGTCACGGCTCAGGAAGGCCCCAGCCGGCTGCAAAGAGCTCGTGTCCCACGATGGGTCTGTGCCTCAAATCTGCTAACTGTGATGCAAACCCTTACAAGGCGCCATTGTTCCTCCCTTGACATGCATGGGGGCTGCTGGAGGGAGCAGGGCCGGGGGGTCAGGCTGCCCTTCGCCAGTCCCCAGGGGCCCCCTCATCCTTGGGGTGTCACCTCCACATCTAGGGTGTCGATGGACTGTGAGGTTGACCTGCCCTTCTCTCCCATCTGAGGGGCAAGGTTACACCCTCCCTCTGCTTTCTATGAATAGGCAGACTGTCTTCTCTCCCAGGAGTTCTCCTTGGCCCCCAGAGCTGGGAGGTCGATGGGGGTCCAGACCGCTCCAGAGGAAATATACCGTCAGTTGGCCACACCCCAGAGGGCACAGTGCTCCTTGTAAAGAAAGGAAGAGGGGTGCGGGACTTCTCTCTGCCTCTCCTAGCCCCCTCCTTCCTTTCCACGATGCACCTCCCTCCCTCCCAGGACTTGGGGCCTTCGTCCGCCCTCCCCACCCCTGCAGGCTGCCCTCTGTCCTCCCTCCCAGGACTCTGCCCAGGGCGTGGATCTGACTCTGTCCTCTCCCTCTCCATCTCGTGAAACCAAAATGAACTGATATTAAGAGGCAGCCAGGGCTGGGGGCCAGGACGCCAAGGCTGCAGGGGTGCTTATTTTAGCAGATGATGTTCCATCACTGGGTCAGAACTGTCCCAGGACTTCACACTGAACCACATCCCAGCTCCCACCCCCCTTTTCCCCTTCTCGGGGCTCTTCCTCTCCCCTCTCTCTCTTTCTCTCCTTCCCGAAAGAGGTATCGCTGTCATATGGAAAACATGCTGGGCTTGGCTCCCTCTCTGGTCCCTACTAGGTTTGGGGCTCTATGAACTGCCTCCCTCCCCAAAACTTTACTCATTGGATTCAGATTAAAATAAACATGGAGGGAAGCCTGAAAGGGAGAGGTCCGGTGTGTGTGTGTGTGTGTGTGTGTGTGTGTGTGTGTGTGTGTGTGTCTATATGTGAGAGCATGTGCCGCCAAGAACCAGGATGAGGCTGGTGGACGTGCCACAGCCCTTCCCAGTTTAGATCCAGGAGCTGAGTGGCTTACGTGTAAGCACATATAGCAACAGCCATTTAATGAGCACCTACTATGTGCCAGGAACTGTTGTAGGTACTGATACTCAGCAGTGAACAGAAAGACTATTCCAGATGGCACACACAGGCAATAAACAAGTGACAAATAATATAATAGTCAAGGGAGGGTGATAAGTGCTATGGAGAAAAATGAAGCAGGGTAAGGGGATAGAGAGGGAGGGAGGGGAGGCTCTATGTAGGATCGGGAGAGTAGAACCCTCCTGGTGCCACGCGTGAGCCCTGGGGGCTTTCTCTTGGCGGCCCAGCCTTCTTTCTGCTGCCCTGCAGGTTGACCAGTTGTTTGGTTTCTGCCTCTGCATCTATGCTCCATTTAGCCCTTTCTGTCCCCATAAAAACCTTCCCTGGAGGACTATTCCACAGGACCACCTCTGGGGCCTTGCACAAAGGCTCCAAAGACCACTGGGGCCAGGACTTCTCAGACGCTTGTGTAATTTGTAATCAGGGACACATAAATTAAAACTGCAGTGAGCTACCGCTATTGCCCATCAGAATGGATAATGTGAGAAAAGGTGGAAACTGCCAGGTGTTGGTGGGGCTGTGGAGGACCTGGAACTCTCACACACGGCAGGTGGGAAGGTAAGTTGGTGCAACGACTTTGGAAAACTGGTAGTGTTCCTGAAACTGAGCCTATGCTGATTTTCTGATCCAGCGATTCCTGTCTTAGGTGTTGACCTGACGGAAAAGGGTATGGATATTCACCAAAAGATAGTCTAGAAAGTTCACAGCTATGCTATTCCCGATAGCCGAAAACTAGGAACCACCCAAAGGTCCATCAGCAGTAGAGTGAATTAACTGTGATATATTCATAGCATGGAAAGCTACCCAGCAACAGGGAGGAACTTTCCATAACTACGTGAAACAATATAGACGGACTTCACACTATACAGTTCAGTGGGGGAAGGCACAGGCGTGACTCCATTCATATGAAGTTCAAACAACTTGAACGACTAGCTGTTAGGAGAGTGGTCACCCTTGGCAGGAGGTGGTGGGTGGTGGTATTGAGATGGGTGCAGGGAGCAAAAGGGGTCTTCTGGGGTGCTGGTAATATTCTCTCTTTGACGTAGATGCTGGGGTGTCTGGGAGTTGATTGAGCTGTATGCTTATGATAGGTGTGCTTTTCTGTGGGTATATTATTATTTAATGAAAAGTTTTTTAAAATTGGTGCTGTTCAGGCCTTGCCTCGGATGAATGAAATCAGAATCTCTGGGGTGGAGGCAGGCGTGGCTAAGTTTAATAGGATTCTAACGTACAGCTAAGGTGGGGAATCACCAGGTTAGCCCAACCTGTTCATTTTGGAGTTGAGTGACCTGTGATGTCAACAGACAGGCCAACCGGTGTTTATCTCAGGGTCTGTGGACCTTTGTCTGCAGCATCAAGCCTCCCAAGTGGGATGAGTGAAGGACCAGGGGAACAGCAAATATTCACCAATTTATAGTCGTAGCCTTGCAGGTCTCCTTGTTCTGCCCCAACATTTGGATTCCCATTACCTGGGGGATAGAGCTGCGACTATAAGCATTGGCTTTTGCATCAGGCAGATGTGGTCCAAACTACTAAACCGTCACTTATAGATTCTGGGATTATGGACAAACTCCCCAGCCTCTCTGAGCCTCAGTTTTCTCATCAGTGAGATGGGGTGACAGTAGCACTTGCTGGAAAGGTTGTGTGAGTACAGCCAGAAGACGTTATCATATACAAGTCAAAGTGTATCTGGCCAGTCCCCTCCCCCTGCTGTCCACCCCCAATGCACTTTCTGTTCCCCGTGATGCTTTACCCACCATTTGGGCTCTTAATTTTCAAAAGATGAGTGCAGGCACAGGCAACAGGATTGGGAGACTGAGTTTCTCCAGCTTTCTTGACTGTAAGTGGTTTGTCTGGACTGGCAGGGAGAGGCAAGGCAGAGGGTCACCTGAGAAGGGGCCCTGTGTCTGCCCATGGCCCAGCCCTCCCAGGCCAAATCTGAGGTCTGTGACACATCGACAGCAGAGGAATCTGTGCCCCGTGTCTGGCAGGGATCCCAAGGAAGCAGCAGAACCCCAGGGATGCATTCCATGGAGTCCACTAGAACTCCTTCCTACTGAGAAAAATTCCCAGACATTAAAGAGCCCTAGACAGCTGCCACCTTCTCTTGCACCCCACCAACATGGCACACAGTCTGGGAGGGGCTGAGTGTGAGCTGTCCTTGAAGGGTCGCCAGCCACAGTGGCCTGGGGGGACTGTCCCAGCGGGAGTGATGTGAGTAGCTGGGAGACAGCCTGAGACTAATCATGTCCCCCCGTCCTCAGCCCCAGGTCAGCCCTCCAGAACACTGACCCGACTACAGGGCACCCTGAACTCACTGAGATTTATTTCCAGATGAACTACACAAAGTGAGCCACGCCAGGGGGTCATAAGTCCAATAACCTGAAGGGGGGAAGGGGTCTTTGAAATTGAAATTATTTTCCATTTAGAGGAATAGACCAAGGGACACTTCCAGCCCCCTGACTCTGACACCTGAGATCTGAACGCAGATGCAGGCATGTGGGTGTCTGGCATCCTGTGTGCTCAGTGCGTGTGCCTCTGTGTGTGTTGTTTTTTGCCACCCGAGGCTGACATTTTGTGGCACTCCATCGATTCCAGAAACGGGGTGTTCTTCCCTGGCCCTGGAGGAAGGGGTCCCTTCTGCTGTGTGCCTCCGCTCAAGGCTCGCCCACATGCTTATTTGCCCTTTGTAGCTCCAGCCCCACCCCATGGCCTCCAGCAGCTGGATCCTGGCACCTCCAAATATCAGGCTCTGCCACCTGCTACGCACGCAGTGATTTCTGCAAAGGCCCTTACACTGAACACTCTCATCCTCCCTACCCTCTGGTTCAGCCCATCCTCCTCCCTGCCTTCTTGCCTGCTCTCAGTCTCCTTGCTGCCTCTCCTTCCTCTTACTTCTCTTTCCTCCATCCTCTCTTCCCACTTTTCTTCTTTTCTCCCCATTCTCTCCCCTTTTCATCGCTCCTACACTTCCTTCCTTGCTCTTGTGTCTTTATCTCCCAGCTCCGTGTCTCTTACCCTCTGCATCTCTCTCCTCTCTCGCTCCCTCCTGGGGAGTTCCAGAAACATATCCATATATGGCCTCCATGTCAGGGATCACAAGTGATGACATCACGGGAGGGCCAAATCTCCGAGATGCTCTCCAAAGTGAAGTCCGTAGTTGATGCGCCCTGGAGGAACCAGGATCGCGGCTTCCCCAGTGCAATCTTTAAACAGGAAATCTGAGATTCATAACATCTTATAGCTTGGCTTGCCATCATTGGTCATGCGGTGGGCCCAAAATAAACTCCCTGCTTCAAAGGAGAGTGTTTCAGAACTGCCTGGCACAGCAGCCAGGAGCCCAGGGCCAGGGCAGAAGGGAAACTCAGGGAGCAAATTAAGACATTCTCAAGAAAATCTTTTTTATTACCCCTGAATTGTACCCTTGTTTCAGAGCCTAACAGGTAATGCATGCTTTCAACTTTCTTATACAGAAAGATTGCTTGTCTGGCTGGGGCTTACCGCTGCGGTGCCTATTTGTAACCTCTTAAAGTCAAAGTATGTTCTTGCGTCTCCCTCTTTCCCTTATTCTCTTGAGTTATAAAGCAAGCTGGTGACTTTCATTTTGGATTTCGGGGAAAAGAATCGGCTGTTTGCACGTACTTGTCCGATCTTCTGGAGGATTCTGGCTCAGAATATCACTCTGCTGTGCACTTCTAAAAATGGAAATGTAAAAGGAGTTATCAGTGATGCTATTGTTGGTTCCATAGGCCTTGGTCAATGTCTATGTCAGACAAATGAATTTCAGAAATGCTTTTAGGTTGAATGAAAGATATTTTCATGCATGGGGGCGTCAATTTCATGTGCCTTTTATGGAACATCTATGTGTGTGCAGTATTGTGTGTGGGGGGGGAGAGGTGATAGCAACCTTGGATGTCAAGCGCTGTACCTGCAATGACGTGGGGTTTAGGAGAGGGAATAGAATCTGCAAACAAAAACTATGACACCACGTAAGGAATGAGAAGCGTTGTGTGTGTGTAAACATGAGGACATATTCAAGGAGGTGATGACCTTTGAAAGGATGGGTGGATGTCTTCAGGTGGGTGGAGGGTGGGTGGGAGAGGGACCTCCAGGTGGAGGGGCGGCTCGCGCAAAGGCAGACAAGCCGGGGTGGGTCTGGGCTGATGGTGGGAAGCGCAGTGTGGCTATAGCAAAGGGTCAGGAGGTGAGAAGCGGGGGTGATGCTGGGAGGGGAAGTGGGGGTGGGGATGGGGGATGCAGGTCCCACCAGGCGAGGCAGGAAGATGGAACATTTTCTGATCATTTTTGAGCAGAGGAGGCATGGGTGGAATCTGACTTCAGGCAGCTCCCCAGGAAGCCAGGGGGATGGCCCGGAATGAAGAGGCAGGGACGCAGTGACCCTTAGGTAAGTGATGAAGACCTGAGTTGGGGCAGAGGCCAAGCCCCCTGCCCAGGATGGAAGAGCTTATGTGTGAGATAGGGACTGAGGGAGTTCACACAGATCCTGAGGGGCCAGCCCACCAGCCATAGGCCCTGATCTCTGCTGTCGGAGGCCTGGGGCAGAGCGCAGTGAGGCAGCCAGGGGCAGATGCTCCAGTCACTTCTGGAACACTTGGATGGGTCCCGACAGCTGGTGGCAGGTCTGTTTACAACACAACCTCCTCCAGGGGCTGGCAGCCGCCTCCACCTGGCACCCTTCTAGTTTGCATCATCCATTCTTGCACAAAGAGGCCAGCCCATGATGCCCTCTTCCTCCTCCTTGGGGTGGGCACCCCGTATGATCCACCCCTGGTGACCTTACAATTAATAAGAGTAATCAGTATCTGTGAGTGTTCACTGAGCATTTACCGTGAGCCAGGCACTGAGTCCAGGGCTTGCGGTGGTTGTTCCCAATGACTCTTCTCATGGGCATAAGTTAAAGGTGATGGTTACTCCCATTTCCCGGATGTGGAAACTGAAGTCCCGAGAGGTTAAGGGTCTCGCCTAAAGCCAGACAGCTAGGAGGAGTTGGAGCTGGAACTCAAATCCTGGCCTCTTGGCCGATGGGCCTCCAGTGCCCACAGTCTAAGCCGTGGTCTCTGCAGCCTCCCAGGGGACTGGCACTGAGGTAAACAGACACATCCTGGCACCTTCGAAGCATCATAAGGTGCTGTATATTGTGGACAGGCTGGATCCAAGAGAGTCTTCCCAAAGGAGGCACAAAAATATCTCTGGACCCACCCACTGTCCTTCCACTGCTGAGCTGTCGAGGGTCAGGCGGCCCGGAGTGGGCGGCTGTCACAGGACTTGTTTATATCTTTACTTCTCATCCTCAGCACTTTCTTCTGGACTCATTAATGCCTGGGGGTATCAGTGAAGTCATTAAGAGCTCTGCGGTTGAGGGAAACGTTTCTGGGAGATGGTGGTAAGGTAAAAGTCAGGTGATTCCTAACCCGTCTGAATTTTTTAAAGAAAAGCATACAGAAGAGAGGGGTGGAAAAAGAGAGGAGGAGTAGAGAGAGAGAAGAAAAATATTTAAATAAAGGCAGGAGAGCAAAAAGCAAACAAACACAGACAGATAGGGGAACAACCCTAGCTGATTTTGGTGTGATCGCGAATAAAACAATTTCCAGCCAGTTCTGCGTGTGGTTAGGCTGGGTGAGGAGGGGGCTCTGGGAGGACACCCCTGCCCCGCCTGAGACTTCCCCCTCTGAAACCTGGAGTTAGAGCTTCCAGAACCTTCTGCCACCCAGGGGCCAAGATGAGGGAGAGTCCCTGTGCTCCAGGTACCCAGGATAGGGCTAGGCAAGGCCATACTTGGGCTCCAGAGGGGCGGAGCAGCAGCTGTCAGAGACTCAGCCCCAGACCGTGTGGGGTGCTGGCACAGATGGTAAAGCAAGGCATTCGCTGAGCCCTGGACAGAGGCTGGGGCAGGGGCCTGGAGTCCTGCGTCCAGACTGTATGTGCCAAGCGAGCCAGGCTGGCTGCAGCAGGAAAAGGCAGGGAGACGGACCAGGCGGACCTTGGGAAGGCGCCTAGCTGTGCCAGGGTCAGCATAGCTAGGGCTCACCTCCAGCCCCTGCAGGGCCAGGGGGTGAGAGACGTGTCCTCCACTTGGGAGGCTGAGCTGAAGGTAACCCACGAGCCCGGGGACTCAATAGCATGGGGCCCAAAGAGATAAAACTTGGCATTCACGGGCTTCCCTGGTGGCGCAGTGGTTGAGAGTCTGCCTGCCGATGCACAGGACACGGGTTCGTGCCCCGGTCTGGGAGGATCCCACGTGCCGCGGAGCGGCTGGGCCCGTGAGCCGTGGCCGCTGAGCCTGTGCGTCCGGAGCCTGTGCTCCGCAACGGGAGAGGCCGCAGCCGTGAGGGGCCCGCGAACCCAAAGGAAAAACAAAAAAAAAAACCACTTGGCATTCACTGATGCTTTTCTTAGCTGGTGCTCATGGCATCACCTCAGATTGTGGGAAGATCCCACATGCCGCGGAGCGGCTGGGCCCGTGAGCCGTGGCCGCTGAGCCTGTGCGTCCGGAGCCTGTGCTCCGCAACGGGAGAGGCCGCAGCCGTGAGGGGCCCGCGAACCCAAAGGAAAAACAAAAAAAAAAACCACTTGGCATTCACTGATGCTTTTCTTAGCTGGTGCTCATGGCATCACCTCAGATTGTGGGCCTTTGGGCCTGTGTGGAATTTATGCTTCTCCTCGGAAAATGGAATATTTTCCACCAAAAACAGGCAAGAGGTTTTGTTCCTCTTGTTCTTTCTTCTTCCCTCTCTCCCTCTCACCCTCTTTCTCTCCTCCTGTTTTGGGGTAGCTTCCGCAATGTACAACAATAAGTAAATAATCATCTAAAACTTGTCATCAGGGTCCTAGACCACTTGTGAGTGATTCATCCTGATTCAGGTTAGCAAGGGGCGCTCAGCTCATTTCAGATGGAGTTTTGGTCTCCCAAACATACAGGGCACAGAGGGTCCGGTGGTGTGGTGGCGTGGGGGCAGAAGCAGCTTTGGACAGGTTCAAATCCCTGGCCGTCACCTCCTACCTGGGTCATTTGGGCCTGTCATGCCCCGTCCCTGGGGCTCAGCTTTCCCTCCTGGGCTATGGGTCAACTGTGATAAGATCCCCTTGGTAACCTCCCGCAACCCTGGCCCAGCTTCAGAGACCTGAAGTCCTAACTCCGGAGAGAAGCCAGGAGTGTGTAACCAGCATCAAAGTTTCTTGGATTAGCAGAGCTGGGAGGGGCTTTTGAGCTTTAGAGTCTGGACAAAAGGCTCCAATCCCATTAGCTGCCAGGCCCTGGACACAGGCAACTAAAGGCTTGTCAGCACTGCCTGTTACAAAGGCCCACCCTGGGGCTTTGACCTGGGCCCCTCTGAGGGCCAATGAAGGTGGCCTGGATTCCACTCTCCCTCCCCCGCAAGGCCAGCTCGCCCCTTAGCCAGAGCAGAGACTTCCAGAGTAACTAAAACCCCTGGCCACTGGCCTAAATATTTGGTGTCAGAAGTTCCGATGAAAAGAGGGGCAGGCAGGCTCTCTGTCACTTACAATCTGGGCCTCAGTCTCCTCATCTGGGCAATGGGAAGAATCCTCCCCTGACTCTGGAGGTTTTGAGAAGTCAAATGGTGTAATATATGAAATTGGCCAGGAAACAGTGCAGGGACCCACAGCACCAGCCTTTTTATTTTTATTTTCAAAATTTTATTGAAGTATAGGTGATATACTGGAGCCAGCGTTTGGGGCCCCGCAAAGGAGGCAAAAGAGGAGCTCCTGGAAGCCTCAGGGGTGGCGCCGGTCTCCCCTGTTCCAAGCGGGCCTTGGATCTCGACCACCATTCCCTCCACAGGCCCCTGGCTTGACTGGCAGGGCATACTACACTCTCGCTTTCCCTGGGAAAGGGCTATTTTTTTCAGGTGTACAGCAAAGTGATTCAGTCATATATATTCTTTTTCAGATTCTTTTCCATTATGGGTTATTACAAGATATTGAATACAGTTCCCTGTGCTATACAGAAGATCCTTGTTGTTTATCTATTTTATATATAGTAGTGTGAGCACCAGCGTTTTTTATGGTTTAGGTTTTAAAGCCATAGGACCCAGGAAGGGGAGAGAATGCTTTAATGTTTTACACTCACGAGCTCTCCAGCTGGAAGTGTTTCCTCAGATTTCCTAGGAGCCCTCTGGATCCTGGGGGAACAACAGATCAGAAAGATAAGCTTTGACATAAACATACTGGGCATTGCAAGGAGAGGGGTTGAGGACCCTGGGGGCCAAGGAACAGCCCAGGTCAATTCCTCACTTCCTCATACGGCCCCAGGTTCGCCAAGCGGCAGGTATTTAGGACTGCCTTGGGCTAAGGTCATGTGATGTGAGGCCCTGGAATGGATAGATAGATAGGTAGATAGATAGATAACTAATTTAGTTTAATCCAGGCCTTTACTCAAAACTTAAAAAAGAACTGGAGGCTG